GGGGGGGGGGGGAGTGGCATTGGCATCTATCTAGGAAGAGAAAAAATATAATCTCAAAAAAGGTCCCCCAAAAAAAAAAAGTTGCAATTTCAATATATATCAATTTCCATTAACTTGCAAGAATGTCAAAAGCGTGACCAAAATAGAGACATCAACATTTTTTGTGGCATACAATGTAGGCAAATATGTTTGGTGCACCATAGGCATTAGCACAAAATTAAAATGTCACGAACTCTCATTTAGCAGCAGCAGCATATGTCTGCTTCCGAATTTTAGATGTTCCAGTGTTTAAAAAGGGGAAACACTACACGCGCTTCCCCGCTTTTATGAAACACTCGAAAGCTTATTGGAAGTGTTAGATAGACTAATTGCGTGAAAACAGAAGAAAGAAAATGAATATCAAAAGATAAAAGTCTTAGCTAGACTCATCTCATAGAAGATTGGTTTATATATACTGAAGAACGAAGTTTTTGAATGAAGTTTTAGGAAGAAGGTTACACTTGCTCTTTACGTTGAAAAAAATACTAGGTTCGGAAAAATTGCACGTCTCTCTTTCATGAACAAACTCGTCTTTAAAGAAAAAATAAGCGGAAGGTTAATGATTTACCTTCCTTTATTAGACAACAAAGATTTTTTAAGCTACATTTGCTCAAAATTGCCACAAATAAATATTAAAGCGTGTAATATATTACTCGGTTAGTATTTAAAATAAAGTATAAAGTCATAAATACATTTTATTCATTCTTGTAAACGATTGAAGACCTGCCGTAAAACAAAAACAAAATATTTGAGTTTCTTTTATTTCTTTTATGTTAGAATACTCAAATATTTTCCTTACAAGTTATGTTTCCTCGGCTATTTTCTTAGTAGCTTAAACTCGTTACATCATTTTCTTGAATTAATCAAACAAGGGTCTTGTATTTGTACAAATCAAAATTATATACTAATAGGAGAAGGCAAGCAAACAAACTCCTCACTGCGCGTGGGTTATGACTTATGACTATAAGGATATAGAATAGTGAATAAAGATAACTAGTCTTGAGGAATAAGTAACAATGTAAGGCCCACTCTCAGATTGGAGTGTGTTGTTCTTACATCACCATTCACCTCATTACGTTTCAGCCGTTGCCTATATATTTGGTGAACTTTTCTACTTAAACGTAACCTCAGGGTACTAATTTTTACCTTTTCGTTTCTCTGAGGGCATTCTTGTAAAATAGTCAGGATTTGCGCGCAGTTGAGGACTTAGTCAAATGAAGAAGAGAACCTCGAAAATTGAAACTCAAAACAAGCCCTGCCAAAAATTGCTAATACACGTTGCGAGAAAAGTCTGAAGCAATTTGAAAAAATAAAGAAAATGACAAACAAAAGCGTTGAGGTGAGGATTAGTGAAAATTAAATCGGTGCTTATCTAATGAGTAATGGACATGACCTCAAAATTTAATGGTCTTTGCTATCTTTGCTTTCAGATTCTGATTTACCTCTCGCTCTTATCTTTCATAATCTCTTGTTTAAATGCTTTACTGGCAATGACGTGTCATTTGGTGTTACTCAAGTTCGTTTTCTCTTCCTCTATTATCACCATTTTTAACTTTGATGGTATCTGTTACAGTAGTATTCTTTTGGAGGAATTGATTATTTTCAAATTAGTTAGTAACTCATTTTTATGAACAATATGTTTGTTAATTGTGCAAAGTCCTAACGAACACGTTGGCTTTTGGATACCACCAAGTAAATAAATTTCATAAGCAATTTTTAAAGTATGATAAACTGACTGAAAGAGTCGATTAAGTAACTCACTAATTTATTATCTGTTTTGTTGATCGATATTCACATTAATTGGTAAGAGCCAATCTTGCAAAGCAGTCATTTTGTCGAATTATATATATATATATATATGGATATGGATTTAGAAGAAGGANGGAAGGGGGGATATGAGAGGTTTTTGATGGATATAGAAGACTATGTACATTTGAGGAATATTACTCATAAGGTTCTAGTGTATATAGAAGATAGATTGTCATTCGTAGTGTATACGGGTAAAAAATCGAGCTCATGATACACTCCGAACACAATTAGGATAAAACGGGCTCAAAGATGATCGCGAAGGATCAAGATCGAAGTAAAGGTCTCATCGAGTCAGAATCCTGGGACACGTTGTCTGCCTTCAAATATATCGGGGTCATAACTCGAGATCGATCCAAATCCTGAAAGTCTTCGGGTAATCGAACACGACCAACGGAAGGTCGTAATATCCGCGACCGGTTGAATATCACGGCGTGGATCTCGGCACGTATCAATGAAGAACCGACAATAAGTGAAACAGAAGATTTTTTTACCTTTTATAGAGTTATACTTAGAGTAGGATTCCCTTACTATATAAAATGGGTCTAATAATTTATTAGACACATTGTAACATGCATTCCAAAGCAATATACTACTATTTTCACTGTTATTATAAGCTTTTTCTCTCGTTCATCAGAGTTGTCCACTGTGAGCCCGGATCGAGGGTGAATGCTTCACTAAGGCCGGAATCATCCTCCTCGCGTGGTTTGAATTTACTGTATCTTTACTTGTCCATTCTAACTGAATATATTATTTTGTATCAAATTAATCCGCATATCCTTAAAACCACTTACAAATTTAATTGTTATCCGATTTTGAGGGTAAACAGTTTGGTGCCCACCGTGGGACTAAGGATAATAGTGGTAATTTGATAGAAATTTCCACAACACACCCTATTTCACACTTGTTCTTTGAAGTGCCTTTGATTTAAGGTCTAAGTTTAAAATGTTGAACTCCCAATCTGCCCCTCTAAACACAGATGCTGAGTCCGACCACCATGGCGAGAACAACAACATGGTGCCCGGTAACGAGGTGCCCCCTGCCAATCCCAATGAAATTCCAGTCGCGGACCCGATCGACACCAACTCACATGTGGCCATTAACTTGAATTTGCTAATCGATCCTGAGAATATCGTCTGAGTGGGAGTCCGATCGGTAGCCCAAAATACTCGTGACGGCGAAAGGGATGGGATCAATTTACGGGTGATTTTTGAAATATTGCAGGCTATGCATGCCTGAAATTCCCCTGAAATTCCTAAGTACAATGGAATGACTTATCCAAATGAACATGTGACCTCGTACACGTGCACCATCAAGGGGAACGACTTGGAAGATGATGAGATAAAATCTGTCCCGTTGAAAAAGTTCGGAGATACCTTGTCAAAAGGAGCTATGATATGGTATCACAACTTACCCCCAATTCTATTGGCTCATTTGCTATGCTTGCAGATGCTTTTATAAAAGCGCACACCGGAGCCATCAAGGTCGAGATCAGGAAGTCAGACCTTTTCAAGGTAAAGCAAAGAGATAGCGAGATGCTCAGGAAATTCGTGTCAAGGTTTCAAATGGAACGGATGGACCTGCCGCCTGTGGCAAACGATTGGGTCGTTCAAGCCTTCACCCAAGGACTCAATACTCTAAGCTCATTGGCTTCGCAGCAGTTGAAGCAAAATTTGGTAGAATATCTGGTTGTAACTTGGGTCGATGTGCACAACCGATACCAATAAAAAATTAGGGTCGAAGACGATCAGCTTGGGGTCCCTTTTTGGGTCTGTTTATCCCGTCTGAGCTAGTAACAGATCTAAAAGAGACATTGATTATGAACCAAGGTCAAGTAGAGATCGGTATCAACTGTACAATGGTGATCGTAGGGGTAACAAGTCTGGACGGAACCCTATGAGAAGTGAAAGGAGAAGCGACAGAGGTCAAAATAACCAGGGACTCATGAGAAAAAACGGTTTTGACAGGCCCATCGGGCCTAAGGAAGTGCCGAGGTTATCGGAGTACAACTTCAATGTCGATGCTGCTGCTATCATGTCTGCCATCAGACACATCAAAGACACCAAGTGGCCTCGACCTATACAATCCGATCTAGCCCAAAGGGATCCCAGCTTAATATGTAAATATCATGGCACTCACGACCACATAGCAGAGGATTGCCGACAATTGAGAGAGGAAGTAGCCCAGTTATTCAACAACGGACATCTCCGGGAGTTCCTAAGCGATTGAGCCAAAAACCATTTCAGCAATAGAGATTCTAGTAAGCAGATCAAATAGGATGAGGCTCAGCACGTCATTAACATGACCATCGGTGGGGTCGACGTTTCCCAGGGGGCAATGTTAAAGCTCACCAAAGTATTCATCACGCGGGAAAAACGGACTCGAGATTACATACCAGAAGGAACCTTGTTTTCAACGACGAGGATGCTGAAGGCATCGTCAGCCCCATAACAATGCACTGGTAATATCTGTACTCATAAATAAATCTCTAGTTAAGTGTGTGTTAATTGATCTAGGTAGCTCGGCTAATATCATTAGATCGAGGGTCGTGGAACAATCTACAAGACCAAATTGTGCCTGCAGTCAGAGTTCTGAGCGGATTCAACATGGAATGTGAGACCATAAAGGGGAAATAACATTACAGATGAGCACCACC